AAAAAAAAAAAAAAAGAGAGAGAGAATCCAGGTCCTGGGACAGAACTTGAAAAACGCCCACATTGACACACTAATGTTCCATTTTGGAACTCTGAGGTTCCATTAGTCTCCCAGTCCTGGCACCTTAATTGCCACAGTCCTGCCACACTGGCCACTTCTCTGCATTCGTTAGATACTTGTGTGTCCCCGTAGGTTGTGAATACCTTCATCTTATCATTTTTGTATCCCTCACAATAGGGTATGGGGCTTTAAAAGCCATACATGTGATGGGTTTTTGCACTGAATGTTATTAGTCTATAAACTTCTCTATGTGCCAAAGACAAATATTAGATGACTGAGAATGAGACTCCTAGACTGATGCTTTAAGAAGTTGTGATGTGAATCTGAGCATGTGTGTGGTCCTACAAAGTAGTGCACAGCGGTTCGGAGAAAGGCCTCAGACAGCCCATTCTTCTCCTGACACGCCCTCCTTGCTGTCCCCGGATTACGGGGTCTGGAACTTGTTACTAGTCTGTAACCTCCTTGAGGACAGGAACTGGGTCTTTGTTGTTTCTGCAGTGCCCAGCACACTCCCTGACACACAGTTCCTGGCACTTGAGAAATGCGTAGAATTACTGAATGTGCTCAGTTCAGCACTTGCTCTTAAACTGCTGTTGCTAGTGCTACTAATTACCATGTGGTTCTTTGATTACAAAGTGTATCTTCTTCTGCTCCTGGATTTCCTGGTCTTGATCTGACATTTTTTCTTCCTTTTCTGCCTCTGCCAGCTCCTGTCTTGCGTCAGGCCCAATTCCATGACCAGAAGCACAGCGGGGAGGAAGGTGAGAGATGCTGCAACAATGATTAGAACTGTGCTGAAGGGTGAGGAAGCGATATGAAAGGAAGGCCGTGAGGCCTATGAGAAGGCAGGCAATGGGTGCAGACAGCCCACGCCCCACCCAGGCTTGCCTCCAGGAGCTGGAACCTGGCTCTGCTCAGCTACTGCCTAGCACATTCCCCCCATTGCTCCAACGGAGGAGCCAATTACACCTTTGATCTTCCTACGGATAGAGCAGTTCTTTCTTTGGACGCAGACTCAGGCCCTCAACAAGCACTGAATTGGACAACAGGTATGACATGTTGTCCACCAGGGAAGCTCATTAAAGATTCAGTGTCTAAGGTTTTATTTGTGGCTCGTCATACAGGCAGGGGCCCTGCTTGACACATTCCCGAATTCCAGACTCCCAGAAGGAAAGCAGGTGTTCACTACAAACCATACTGTTTCTACAAACAGTTTAGGCACAGTGAGCTTCTTCTCAGTTTGGAAGGGCGGGAATCCTCTCGAAATTGAAGCCACCAGATGCCGGCCAAGAGCCAACCCTGTAGGCAGGCCTTTCTAAGGACAGCAGTCTCGGGTCTGCTATGTCAACTCCTTCTCCTCACCAGCTCAGCTTCAGATTTTTCTGTGGAGTTGGCTAAGGTGCCACCTTGACAGCCCTACATACCGGATGCAGGAGTGGTAGTCTTCATCATAGCTCTATTTATTCTGCAAAATTTAGACAGAGCCTGCAAGATAACAGTGGACTAAGGCAAATTCAATGGAGGAGGAGCCCCGACTACAGATGCTGCGCCAGATGTGACATCCTGCTAGAGCAGGTTAACATGGCTATGGGTACGTGGTACGTAACTACCTATCTGGTGGGCACATGTTTTTCCATCCCTGTAAAACAGGATCACAAACAGTTCACACTCACATGGAATGAACAACAAGGCCATGTAACTCTCTGGCTTCTACTAATATAACAGAAAGAGACCCAGACAGGTAGACATCCTATAGAGAGTCACTGAGGTCACCAAACTGATGGATTTTATTAATCCAATGGCACGAGCAAGATGTGACTTGTAAATCTGAGGCTTTGATAAAGTACATGTGCTCTAGAGGGTGAGATAAAAACCATGCACTCGGGGCACCTGGGTGGCTCAGTCGGTTAAGTGGCTGCCTTCAGCTCAGGTCATGATCCTGGGGTCCTGGGATCGAGCCCCATGTCCAGCTTCCTGCTCAGCGGAGAGCCTGCTTCTCCCTCTCCCTCTGCCTGCCACTCTGCCTACCTGTGCTCTCTATCTCTCTGTCAAATAAATAAATAAAATCTTTAAAAAAAAAAAACAAACCCCATGCATTCCAAAGCCTACCGTATCAGTAAAATTTGGGGGGAGGAGTGTCCAGGGAGCAGGAGCATGCTAAAATATCCCCTCCGAAGTAACAGACAAATTATTATGACCTACATCTCCCACTATAAAGAAGGGAGCACATTTCACACCTAAAAATACTGCTCTCAGCTGTCACACTGGGTGACACGAAAGGCTGCCAGTTTTGAGTGAAGCCCAAGCAGGAAAGGGCTCTAATATGGCACATCCATACTGTGGTAAAAGCAGGTCTGCCACTTGGGTCATCTAACGTAGCAGACCCTACGATATTAGAGGTATTGGTGGAGGGAAAAAGTGCAGAAGAAATGAAAGCAAAACCACAGTATATATACTCTTTATTTTTCTCTGCTCATTTTATTGGGTAACTGTATAAAACCCACATACATTACGGGAGAAAATATTTTATTTTTCAAATGAATAATGCATTCTTCACTCCTCAATTATTTCTGTAATATTTTACCCTTTTTAAAAACTAAATATATATTTTAATACACTTCACCTTTTCCCAAAGACTGTGGTATAATTGTGATTATCTTTAGCAACCAAAGTCTATTTCTAGCGATTTAAACTTGATATGGAGAAAAATGCCATGTCAAGTCCTTTGTATCTGATTTGGTGCTGAGGTTTAACTGGTGTATTGGTTTGTTCCAGGATCCAGAGGCTACTCTAAGCTTTAAAGCAAAGTGAAACCCTTAGGCTGGCCTCAGCTGCTTGAGGCATCTCTGGATGGGGTGACTGGTTTGCCCTGCACAGGACCGTTTCTCCCTGGGCTAGGCTGGAATATCTGGAACAGAGGATTGAGGTATTTACTGTGTCTAGGCTAGGCATTTGTTTGGGGTGGCGGGTGAGGAGAACCCTATTTCTTATGTCCGATTTTTATTGGTAATCATTTCTCCATAAGAATAAAGAGCAAATGGGTAGCTCTGGGTCTTTGATGATACCAATATTTTGTTCTCAGTCACCTATCTCTCAGTGATACTAAGCCCAATGACAAAGAAGACAAGGGCTGAGTTCACTGTGAACACAAGTGGTAAAAGTGACTGTGGCGACTGTGACCGAGGCTCAAACTGGGCTTTGACTCTTGGAAAGGTCTCTCAGGCTGGAGTCATTCTAAGCAGCCAGTAGAGAGCCAGAATTTGGATGTACTGTGTTTGGATCGATCCTACTTTTCTTCACTGTCCACTGACTTTAATTTTTTATACTTAAAATAAGTCTCCATCTCTATCACAGTATCTCTATAAAACCTAAGATCATACCCAAACTTCCCCTTCGAATGTCCGTTATTAATTCAAAATTAAATAACTAAAATAAATAATGGGTAGCTAATGAGATTTTTTTCTACGTAGTGAAAAGATATGACCTCAGTGTTTCCTCTTAATATAATTCTGACCTCTGAAATGTGGGAAGGTTCCCATTTAGAGGGAAGGTTTGGAATCCTACATAAAAATATAACATGCATTAACACGTAGAAAATTCTTGAATACAAAGAAAATTCAAGTGACCATATCCTTACTGATATTAATATAACACAAAATTTCCATGAATATTTTAGCACAAAATGCAATTCATTTCTAGCTGACACAATGAAACAATTGATACTCAAATTCTAACTACTATAGCATAGACATCTGAACAAGGTTTGAATACGTACATGCGTTTCAAAGTAGAATTTGGCTGTGGGCTGGTAACTTTTATTCTAATCCACAGTATTTTTGACTCTTAATTTCAGTTGTTCTTAATAAGAAATTAGAAGAAAAGCTAAATTTCTGACACTTAGGTCAAAAATTAGCTAAGGGTTCTTCTTTTGTATATTCAGTTAGAAGCTATTCTAAAGCTGCTGCTTTACCTTCTTTCTTTAAATAAAAGTCTTTGGATAGTATACTCTCCTAATTACAGGAAAATATTCTAACCCTTTCTCCAAATCCTATCGCAATTGGAAGAGCCGTATCATTATTTTTTAATGATTTCACCTATATTTTGTATTTTAGAAATGTCAGCAATATTACTTTCTGTAAAATAAAAAGGAGCATTAAAAATATTCAGCTAGTACTAGCGTCTAGATTTTGAAGACGTTCCTTTATAATGAAACAAAATGTTCAGAACAACTGTCCACAACCAACCTTTAAAAATCAGATTTAGTACCCTTTTTCGCTTTTTAAACCGATGTGGGCTTATATCAAAGTGTTCCTAGAGGGGAGGAATGATGTACCGTACTGAAAAACTGAGACCTTGTCAGAGGTCTTCTCAACCTGGTTCTGAACAACTTTAAAAGCCAACAGATCTGTACCATATGCGATTCTCAGGGTCAGGACTATGGGATGCTATGTAAAAAAAATCTTTTGGTATTACAAATAACAAAAGCACCTTGGATTAGATCCAAGATAGACATGTGTTATAAATGAATTCTGCTTTATAGTAAAATACATTTAAAGTATAATTCAACATACTTACCATAAAGCATACATAAGTAAAGGTACTCCTTTGAAGCCAAAAATCTGATGCTGCTGAAGCAGAGTCCAGTTCCTACTACCATTGCTGAATGTGACTAATTTGATATCATTTCCTAAGTCCTGTGGAATCTTCTTGATCTTTTAACATCTTACGATAGTGACCTGGCACTAGTTTAGCTCTATAAAAACATAATTGTCACAAATCACACAAAAACATGATAACTAGCACACATTTCTGTACATCTTCAAAAAAAATCTTTGGGTAACAACTAAATGCACAATGCTTTGGGAGATCCAAAGAAGCACTCTAAATGATGGATAATATTTAATGATGGCAAATGAGAATTATTTTCTAAAAGCTGTACCAATGTTAATTTTAGGTAGAACATAACATGGAATTATTTCATGAAATATAGTCTCTTTCTATGCTCTCCTGACAACACTCCCAACAGAAAGCTTCCAGTCTATTTGCTGTTTCTTGGCTGATGAGACATTCATCTTTTAATTCCCTGATTGTCTTCCTCAATGATTTTCGGAAACGTTTTTCTCGGTCTAAAACATTCCGCAGACTTTTCTTGGTATCCTCTAGCTCGCTGATCACATGATCTAATTTATGCTTAAGTTTCTTTGGACTGTCCATTACACTGTAGCTATGTTCCTAAAAACATAAACACCAAGTTATTAAACCAGAGAGACAAGTAGTTAACATAAAAGCTTATAGCTAGGCCTCAGCTGTTCTTCCATTCACAATGCTTAGATATCTTTAAGTTAGCGATACTTAGAGGTTTAAAGAACACAGGAAGAAGATGCAGGTAAAAGCAGTATTTTGGGTGCCTAGTGCCTCCCTCCTTTATCTAAGGCTAGGCGTCACATGAGGGGTACAGAATCTACAGAGGGGAGGCGCTGCTCCTTGGGGGGTAAGTATCTGCTATGAACATGACACTTGTAATGACTATCCAACTTTCATTCCCTAGGTGTGGGGCCGCTAAGTTTATGTTTTACCTACCAACAAATCTTTAATCATTACACTTTCAACTATTTTATTTTATATTGATGAATATTCACGTTAAAGGAGATGACAGAAAAGGAGCATTTGAGCAGGTCCTCAGGCTGAGTGTTATATATTTAGAGAGGACTCTGGTTTGGGGCTTTTAGAGAGAGAATTTAAGCTCTCTTGATATTTATTATGGCTATGCTTAAGTTTGCTAGGTATACTTTTTTTTCATTTGAATATAGGGAAAGTAACAGTAACATATCTTAAAAAGGCACTATAAAATAATCTTGAAAAGTTGTTATTTAATATTAAAATTAGCAAAGAGGACTTTTGCTTGTAGCCAACATGAAATAACAGAGATTGGATGGATTCCTCTCTAAAAAACCCAACATGTGGCTAAAAGGCATAAAAAAAGGTTACGAAGATAACCGATATCAGGCAAGGAAGGCAGCAATCCTGGAGGGATGGGAAACTAAGAGGTGAGCCCTATGGCCGACTGCCCCAGCTTACTGCCTTGGGAGAGTGCGTATGCTGCAGAGCTCGGGAGACTGAGAAGATTGTGCAGAGTGTCCAGGAAGACCAAAGTGGCTACCATTCACAGGAGAAAGTACTAGAAAGGAGAGAGAACTCTGAAGATCCTGACAGGCTCCCCTTCTAATATTCAGTGCACACAGGTAGGGAACTGCTCAAGTCTGAGGAAAGAATGACCAGAAAGGACCAGCAGTGCTCTGTGTTCAGAGGGCGTGGCCACTATTCCCACTCCTGCCAGATTAGAAAATTCCAGGATTCATGGGGCATTGAGTAGAGTATACAGAACGGTCTCGCCACAGTGGTGGAGAACAAACAGCCCTAGACAGAACACTCTTCTAGTCCTGCCTAACAAACAAAACCTGAAAGGATCAAACTGTTTCCAAATAATTTTGTAGTATCTCAGAACAAAGCTCAAGAATACAGGGTACAAAAATATCCAGCATCCAGCAAAGTAAAATCCACAATGTGCAGCACACAACATTTATCAGGTATGCAAAGAAATAGGACAATGTGAGCCATAATAAGAAATAAACCAGTCAATGAAAACTAACCCAGAACTGCCACAAATGTTGGAATTAGCAGATAAGGCAATTAAGAAAGTTATTAAAATTGTATTCTATATATTCAAAAAGTTAGGCAGAGACATGAAAGATATAAAAAAGAAACAAATAGAACATCTAGAGATAAAATCTACAGTGTGTGAGGTGAAAAATACATTGGAGGGAATTAATGGCAGATTAGTGAAGGTGAAGGCTCAGCTATATGAACTATCCCGAATAGACTACAGAGAGAAAATGGAATATTGAAAAACAAAACTAGAAAAAACCAAAAAATTAGGAGAGCATCAGTGAGTGGTAGTGTGACTCACATAGCCTAATACATATGCAATCAGAATCCCTGAAGGAATGGAAAGAAATGTTGAGGTAGAATGAAATATCTGAAGAAACCTTGGCCAAAATTTGTCCAAGTTTGATGAAAACTATAAACCCACAGATAAAGAAGCTCAAAAATCCCAAGCATGAGAAATATGAAGAAAACTAAACTAAGGTAAATCATAATCAAATTATTCAAGCCACTGGGAAAGAAAAATTCTTAAAAGCAAGGAAAACAAGAAACATTAGATATATAGAGGATAAAGATGACAGATTTTGCATTAGAAACAATGTCTGTGAGGATACAGTGGAGCAACATCTTTGAAGAACTAAAAACAATCTCCAAAACTATCAACCTAGGATTTGATACCTAATGAAAAAAATCTTTCAAAAACAGAGACTAAGTAATGATTTTTCTCCAGAAATATAAAAGCTGAAAGAATTCATCACCAGCATAGCTGCACTGTAAGAAATTAAAGTCCTTCAGACAGAATGAAACCAGAGGGAAATACAGACTTACCCCAAGGAATGAAAAGCCCTGGCAATGGCCACTACATGGGTAAGGTATAAGACTTTTTTTCTTATTATTTATATCTCTTTAAAAGATAATTTATTGTTAAAACAAAAATTCTAACAATGTAGTGTGGGGTTTATAGCATATGTAAAAGTGAAATGTATGATAGCAGTAACACAAAAATTGGGAGAAGGGAAATGAAAGTAGACTATTTTAAGATTCTTATAATATGTGTTAAGTGGAATAATATCACTTGGATATAGCCTTTGATAATTTAAAGATGAATGCTATAGACTCAAAAGCAACCACTAAAATGAAACAAAAAGTTACAGCCAATGAGTCAAAAAAAGGATGTAAAATGGAACCAAAAAAATTCAATTAATCCAAAAAAAGGCAGAAAAAGAAGAAAATGGGAACAAAGAACAAATGGAACAAGTAGGATACAAATATGATGACAGATTTCACTAAACCAAACAATATCAATAAACACATTAAGTGTAAATGGTCTGAATAACCCAATTAAAAGGCTGAAATTATCAGATTAGATTAAAAAAATCAAGACCCAAAAGTATAAGCTACCTAAAAAAAACGCACTTCAAACATACCAAATAGGTTGAAAGTAAAAGAACGGAAAAAGATACAGACCTTCCTCCACCTATAATGGGTTTCACAAGGCCTATTTTACAATAAAGTGTTGAATATCTCATGTAATTAATTGAAAACTATTATTGGGAGTGAAAAACACAATGGTTGTATGGCCACAGAATGGTTCTAAGTGTACTGACTGTTCACCCTTGTAATCGTGTGGCTGACTGGCTTGCTGCCACTGCCCAGCATCATAAAAGAGTATAGTGACACATATCACTGGCCCAGGAAAAGATGAAAATTAAAAACAAGAAATACGGTTTCTATTGAAAGTCCATTGATTTTGCACCATCGTAAAGTTGAAAAATCATGAGTCGAATCACCATAAGTTGGGAACGATTACCAATATATAACACTAATGAAAAAGAAAAAATGTGGGTATACTGCTAACAGAGAAAATAGATTTCAGAGCAAAAGAACATTACCAGGGATAAAGAAGGTCATTTCCGGGGAGGAGCAAGAGAGCAGGGGAGTAGGAGACCTAAATTTCATCTGGTCCTAGGAATTCAGCTAGATAGGTATCAAACCATTCTGAACACCTACAAACTCAACAGGAGATCGAAGAAAAGAATAGCAGCAACTCTCTGAACAGAAAAGTGACCACTTTCTGGAAGGTCACTTCTGATTTGCTTAGTGTATATTTTTCTGGGGTCGTTGTTACCCTGTTAGCATTTTGTCTCTTATTCATCTATTCTCCTCTGGACAAAATGACAAGAAGGAAAAACTCACCTCAAAAAAAAAGAACAAGAGGCAGTACCGACTGCCAGGGACCTAATCAATACGGACATTAGTAAGATGTCTGAACTAGAGTTCAGAATGACGATTATAAAGATACTAGCTGGGCTTGAAAAAAGCATGGAAG